CAAGAAATCTATCCATGCTATAATCTAAAGCTGTGACCGAGAGAGGTACTTAACTCGACAATCGTCTTTGTAAGCTCGCCGCGTCTGCCAGCACCATATTTTTCCTTTTCTCAGGTCTTAAGCATGAACTGATGAGGGGACGGAAGATTCAATTCGGCGATCAACAGCGTGTTGACGACGAGCCGGCCCCTCCACGTGGAGGAGTTTTCACGTTTTACGGTAGACTTTATCGACAATGCCAATCATGTAATCACTTGTTGAGCAGGGCCATAGCGGCAAAAATATGGAAAACTCTCAAGGATTACCTCAGCTGTGTCGCGAATCTCAAACACCACCAAAGTTTTGGCCTGTCGGTCTTCTCCGGGGAGCTTTCAAAGGGGTGATACGTCCTCTTTGCGCACTGTTTCATGTCCATGCCTGACACAAACAGTGTTTGTCTTTGTTTCCAGAGCTCTCCATCAAAACACAACGCTGGCTGCTAGAACATAAGTCGACGAGTCTGTCGATGCTGTATCCAGGGCATTTCCCACTGTTCCTCGAGCTTCAAGCGCGCTGTGGCCACGGCATCTGCAAGCCGCGAGCAGGCATCTCCATTCCACATCGCTCGGCTCGAAAGGCATGCTGCTGATGAGGTCCGTCGCGTCTTGGAACCGCCCAGCTCGCGTCAAGAGATCCAGCATGCAACTGTAGTGCTGCTTGGAGTAGTCAAGGCCAAAGTCAGACTTGATCGAGCCAAAGCACTGCCGTCCAGATTCCACGTCTCCTTTGCGGCTGCAAGCGACCAACACCGACACGAAGCAAACCAGCCGGGGGTTCGTGACCATCACAAGTCTGTAATACAAATCCACCACCTTTTCAAAATGCCCATTCTGGGCATATGCTAGAAGCATGGTGCTCCAACTTGCTTCTTCGTGCTCGGGCATTGCGGAAAACAGCCGCTCCGATTCTGCCACCTGGCCGTTGTATCCGTACACGGCCAGCATCTGCGTCCACGTGTCGGAATCTCTGGTCTGCAAGTGATCAAAATGGTGTTTGCTCTTGTGAAGATGCCGAATGTGGGCATATGCTTTAAACATCTCATGGTTGCGAACGGCATCGTCAACTTGCTCGAAGTACTGAGAATCTATGCAGATGAAATGCCCGTGTTGAGACAATCCTGCCTCCAGTAGACACCACGATTCTATCGTCTTCTCGGGAATTTTATCATAGATACTCTTGGCATCTTCCAGGAGTTCCTTTCTGGCAAATGCCCCTAGTATGATGTGGAACGCGGCCAAGTTTCTCTCGGGCATTTCACCAAACAGGTGCCTGGCCTCTCTGATGCTATCGCTTTGTGTGTACATCGACAGCATTGTCAACCATGAAACCAGATTGCGGTAGTGCATGGAATCGAACACCTGCTTTGCCTCTAGGATGTGAGGGGTGCCGGCATAGCCAGCAAGAACCGTGTTGTACGACGCCACACGTACATACGGACACAAGTCCATCATTTGTTTGGCCTCTTGAAGATGCCCGCATTGGACATATGCAGACGCCATTGCGTTCCAGCAAATGGTATCCTTTTCGGGTATCTGGTCAAACAAGGCTTTTGCAATATCAAGATACCCGTATTGGGAATAAGCTACCAGCAAGGTGGTCCACGATACACAGTCCCAAGCTGGCATTACAGATAGTACATGTTTTGCCTGTATGAGATAACCACTTTCTGCATAGGCTGATACCATTGAGTTCCAAGATACCAAGTTCAGCTCGGGCATTGCATCAAAAACGCTTTTGCAAAGACCAAAATCACCGTGACAGACACAAGCAGCCATAAGCACATTCCATGACACTAAATTGTGTTGTGGCATGCAATCAAACAGTAGCTGAGTGTATTTCACATTCCCCACTTGGGCATAAGCTGATAAAAGTGTGGTATATGATACAAGGTCTCGTTCGGGCATTTCTCCTAGCATTTTCTCAAGTTCATCCACAAGCCCTTTTGTTTCATATGCAGCTAACATAATGTTATAGGTAATGACGTTCCACTCTGGCAATACATTGTAAAGTTTCTTTGTATCTTCAATATGCCCCTTCTGGGCAATTTCCGAAAGAGCTGTGTTATATGAAACTATGTCGTACTGAGGCATGATTTTAAAGATGGAAGTCGCACTGCCTAAGTCGCCGTTTTGAGCGTAAGCCCAGAGCAGTGCATTCCATGTCACGAGATTTCTGTTAGTCATCTTGTCAAACATTCTCCGGGCTTGTGTGACAAACCCATTTTGGGCATATCCCACAAGAAGCGTCGTCCAGGAGAGAAGATTCCAACAAGGCATAGAATCAAAGAAGACCTTTGCTTCACCAAGATTTCCGGTGTGGGTGTATGCTGCAAGCATTACGTTCCAGAGCGCTATGTCCCTTCGTGGAATCTCCTCAAAGATCCTTTTACATTCTTTGAGATTCCCAGACTGGGCACTTGCGGCCAGCAGCGTGGTCCAGGCAAGAAGATTCCACTCGGGCATTGCATAGAGAATCTTCTCTGCTTGTGCAATATGCCCATTCCGGGCATATGCTTTCAGTAAGGCCACCTGGTCATTCATTTAGAATCGACCGAACGTTTTCGTTTGAATAGTAGAATATGCGACGAGATGCGTTTAGGGTTTTAGTAGGGTTTAGAGAATGAAGAAGAAGATCGTGGCGGGCTCGTACGAGCGCTTCGTCTGGGCATGGGACGCGGACCTTGCCACCGGCGAGCTCTCCCAATCCTTCTCGCGGCCATCGCATCTAGGGCCGATCAAATGCGCCGCGGGATGGGGCGGCGATCTCGTCACTGGCGGCTCGGATGACACGATCCACATCTTCGACGTCGCCGCCAATCGCGACGTGGGCGTGGCGGAGGGGCACAGGGCGTCCGTGACGGCGCTCGAGTTCTTCGGCGCCGACGCCACCGGGAAGGCATCGCATTTGTTTAGCGCATCCGAGGATGGGACCATTTGCGTGTGGGATGCCGGCAGCTGGATCCACTTCAAGACGATGAAAGGGGGCAATGCGGGGATCCTGGATCTCTCAATTCATTCCTCCGGGAAGCTGGCGATCTCGGTGGAGCGACACGGTGGCTTTCGGATGTGGAACTTGCTCAGGGGGAGGTGTAGCTTCAAGACTAAGGTCGCGAGGCAGGCTTCGCTCGTGAGTTTCTTGCCCGAGAAGGAGCATAGCTACGCGATGGCGTGCGGCAGTGCTGTGGAGATTCACAATGCCGAGGATGGGAAGGTTTTCCAGACGCTGGATCATGACAAACCTGTGCTGTGCATGGCTCCATTTCACGTAAGTCTTGATAGAACTCTTTGTTCTTCTTTTTTCTCTTTAGCAACTAGTGACTGGGACTTTTGATCAGGATGAGCTTTTGTGCACAGGAGGAGAAGACTGCAGCGTGAGTGTGTGGGACTTTCGGTCTGGGAAAACCGCGCATAGAATCGCCGCTGCTCACGCGAGCCGTGTCAAGGGAGTGGACAGGCTGGGCGATTCCCAGCTTTTGGTTTCGGCCTCTTCGGACGGGACTGTGAAGGTGTGGGATTTGCGAGTGGTGTCACAGGCAGAAGATGATGGGAAGCCAGTGCCGCTAATGCAAGCCGATACACGAGCTCGTCTCACCTGCGTTGTCGGCTTCAGTGCTGGTGTTGGTAAGCAAGCTCTTCGTTGGTTTTCTTGTGATGAATCTCATGGGTGGTGTGCGCTTTTCAGGCGCATTGACGCGCGATGAGGAAGAGGAAGTCGTCGAGATGGAGCAAATCAAAGAGACCGATGGGAAGAAACAACGAAAGGTATGTCTAGAAAAACATGAAGCCTTGGTGTCTAAGCTTTTGTTCCAGGTCAAGAAGCAAAAGGTTTGACGCCATGCCAGCAACAATTCTCGCGTGTGCACGGTCCTCGGATTGAGGCAGAAGAAACGCAAAGTTTCGGTTTTGTGAGATACAGGTACTGTGATTGTGATGCAAGAGAAACCATATCTATAAAGCCTGGCATTCCTAAAGCCAGTTGCATTTTGATGCTTGTCGCTTTGGTTTTTCTACCTGTAGATCCGAACTTGGAAGGCTCTCTGGGTGATGAGTTCGAACAGACATATGTCCAGCTTCTTCAGGACGTGATGCCTCGCAAACTCTGGCCACCCGGCACCCAGGACGCACGCTCGAATTCCCAGCCACTTGACCGTCCACAGCGTCGAATCCCCGTCCACCACGCTGGTCGTGGCGGGCTTGCGAGGAAGATATCTTTCGGCAAACTCCCTCCTCACACTCTGGAAAAAAAAGTCATCCAGTCATCTTGCGAGGTAAACGTTGTCTCTTACCAGAACCGTCTCGTCGCCTTGTATCTTGACTATAAACGTTGGCTTGTCAGATTTGTACGCCAGCGCCGCGTCCATGGCGAGGCGGTGGAGGTGGAGCTTCGATCTCACCAGCGGCGGCCGGCTCCTCAAGTTCCGCTCGAGAAAAGGAGGGGAGCTTTCACGGTGATGGGGGAGCTCTGGAGATGGTTCTACTGCCGGCTCGTGATCGTCTGGAGATTGTTCTTCCGCCATAGCTACTACTGCTGGCTCTGCATCACCGAGCATTCCACTCTCCTCTACTTCTTCTTTCACCACGGCCTGGACGCAAACCGGCACCGCCAGCTTCGGCGCTGGTTTCTTGACGATCCTGGGCTTCCGGACGATCTTTCGGTGCTTGGAGCCCCCAATCCGGGGTGGCCTCCCGCAGAACCTCTCGGTCCCGAAGTCCTGGCGGTCCGCTCCATCGGCGGCGAAGATCTTGAAGCGGAGGCGGCCGCGGCCTTCGTGCATGAAGAGGATGACCTCGCCTCCCTTGAGGCTCTTGTCGCGTGCGAGGCGGTTCCAGCCCGAGCAGAAGTAGGCGTGCTCGTTGGTGCCGATTGGCCACTCCTGGCCGCGCTCGTCCTGGAGGAACACGGTGGTGTTGCACAACTTCTTGAGCTGGTCCTTCGCGAGCCGCCTTGGAACCGACTAGAGAATCAAGAAAAGTTTGGAGTTTTCGCTATGATTCATGCGGAAGCTAGAACATACCAGGTGTGAGAAGCGGACGGGCTTGTGTATGACGCGGACGAACCATACCTTCTCCCTCTCGTCAGCCATTTCTAGAATTACTACCCTACTTTCGAGGTGGTGAGGTGTGTGCCAAAAAAGATAACATTTACTTTCCGCGCGAGCGAGAGAGAGAGAGAGGAGAAATCAACACCAAGGACACCTCTTCTTCATGACTGAGATGCTGCAAAGGACCAGCGTCCCTGCAGCGGCGGCCAGCGCCGTGAATCGATTCACAGTGCTGGCGTCGTCGGGGTTCCCTGCTGGAATTGGCCATTGGACTTCTTCGCTTGCAGCGAGCTCGAGTTGGAGTTCTTCCGCATTCTTCTTGCAGCTCACGGCCACGGATGGAGAGCTCAAGTTTATGAGGTGGTAGCTGTCAATGCCTAGTGGCTGCCAGGAACGAACAAACACTCGGTTAGTAGCACATTAAAAATGTAACTTACCGCATAACGAGCGTGTAAAGGGAGTGAAGTCTCGGCATGGAAGACGTTCGCGTTTTGATCCAGCGAGACTTGTATTCTCACGGTGACTGGTCCAGAGAAAAACGCTGGCCTCTCCAGATCGAGATCACCGGATACATGGGCTGCTTCATATCCTGCAAAAACACATCTTTTGCATCACTTCGGGGGGGATTTCATACACGAGTTACTTACTTCCCATCCGAGTTAAGCGCTGGAGTTGGAACGTATCGGCAAAAACGGAGCTTGGGAGATTTTCTACCAAGGAGAGCCTGCACGAGTCTCCCTGGAACTTGTCATCCAGTTGCAGGCTGATATCGGTTTTGAGCTCCCGGTGCGAACCACTACCCTCAAGCGTTCTAGCAAACTTCACAACTTCGTTTCCTGGTGGCCACACAAGCGCTAGAGTCAACTAAAATGCCGCAAAAGAAAGAGTACCTCTAATGAGATGAGCTATGGCGCCCAGCACAGCCACGAGCAAGATTGCTCGTGGTGGTTTCATCGCTTGATGAAAGCTCTCCCCCTGCGGCAAAGGAACCCTACACAAAGCATTTTATAAATGGTTATGGCGAGCGTCATACTTTCCGCAGCTCCGAGCTCGGGCTTACGTTACAAGCAGTGCGTTATTCCACGACACCAAGCACTTCTGTGGCTTCACACAAGAGATCACAGGTTAGTAAGCTGCAGAATTGCGAAAGCCTACCGTCGAGACGGTCCAGTCGAAAGAAATGTAGTCTGCAAAGCTAGGCGAGCGCCGGACGAAGGATTCGTCAGCAATGCCGCGCTCCGGCTCGTTTTATGGAGCATGACTGGCTTCTACGCTGTCTGGCTGTTCATTCTCCCATATGCACCAGTGAGAGCTCGGCTCTTTTCCCTTCTTCCTTGATTTTTTGAGCTTCTTGCTGCCAGGGAGATCCTGCATGGGCAATCGACCAAGAAACGTTGTCAATGCTTTTCCAACTATCACTAAACTTCTTCTTTGTACTACCTATCGCCAATGCTGGTGTGTATGGCACAATTTTATCTCTGACGTTCAGTTCTCTTCTTCAGCTGGATTTCACGTAGTAACCGCTCCTGTGATTCACCCGGTGAGTACATCCTCACAAAGCCACCATAGATTTACTCACCACCATACATTTTGGAACCATAGGCTGCCGAGGCGCTCTTCAACGTCGTTATGGGATGGACTCTGCTCTTCGGACCCATTATCTTTTCTGACGCTCGAAACAACCGGTTCAAAGGGTCCTTGGAAGCACTCTGGGCGGGACAGTGGTTTCTGACGAACGGTAAAACGAGCTTCGCGTAAGAAAAGCACTAACTATGAAAGACATGACTGCAGCCTTTCTCATACCTTACATGGCTATTCGGTTGAACGAACAGGTTCCTACAAAGTCCAAATCACCAAGCAAATTCTGCCAAGCAGCACTATCTGCAGCAAAACCAATCGCTTTAGTCGGTGGAACAGTTGGTGCACTATCGATAGCCTGGGGCTTGGGAGGCAGACCTGACGCAGGATTTGGGAACATCGTTGATCGCTGGGACTATTTTCTCCATTATATAGGAACAGACCGTGTTGCATATGCTTTTCTCTGGGACGTCTTCCTTTATTCGATATTCCAAGCCTGGCTCGTTCAGAGCAACTTGAAGAAGGTTGAAGGCCTGCGAATGCGAAAGATGGTGAGTCTGCTAAGCTATGTTCCATACGTTGGATCAGTGGCCTACCTCTGGGGACTAGCCAGTGAGATCCCAGAGATGACGATGAGCCAGGAGAATTTACCTGAAGAATCAAAATAGCTGGAAGCGCGTCATTTGTAAATGAAGTTCTCTTCAGTGAAATCTCGTATTTTTGCTTTCGACTGCGCTGAAAATCGAACAAAAACAATGAGACGAGTTATTATAATTCATAATAAGTACCTTGTAGCTATACAACTTTAAACTTTTGATCGAAGCGCGGTCCCTTCAGCATCCACTGTACACCTCTTTTGTCTGTGCAGACGGATAAGTGTGATGATACTTGGTAAACTCCTGGCGAAAGATTCGAGACATCTATAGTACACGAACACAACCCCTGGGTCTGCTCGCCTTCCAGAGACGAAGAAATGAACGCTAGAGTATTCTCTGACTCTGACACGTTGTCTCGACCAGCCAGCCATTTCAGAAGAACATGGTCTTTGGTGTCACGAGTAAAATTCGAGACATGCTGCGTAGAACCGGAAAGCGCGAGCACGCAAGACAACCTCTTCAGCTCAAAACCTGCTGGTAGATTAATTACCTCCAGGCCGAGACTTAAAGAGAGAGGCGAGCCCCTGGGAACACTAAAATAACGCTCTTTTGTATGGGCATGCAACCGCAGCTGCGTTCGAGGCCTGGAAGCAGAGGAACATTCAGTTAACAAAAAAGTATTGTAGAATATCTGCTTACCTCGAGTTGAAGAAGTATCTAGGCAGCACATATTCCTCACGGAACAGCTGACGCATAGCTTCGTTTAAGAATGGAATACCTTTCTCCTGAGTCCACGTAGCCCCGTTCGACTCGGAGAACTTCAGATGCAAGGCCTGCTTCCACACACTCTTTACAACCTGCGTAGCTGGTTGTGTTTTAAACCAAGGAACGTTGCGTCTGTAGCGTAAATCTCCAACAGCGATGCGTCCCAGCACGTCGTGGAACTGCTGCAGCATAGTACGTCCCTGGATAAAGCGGGCAACTTCTTCAAACACGTCCGCCTTGTAAGTGAAACTGAAAGCCGTCGTCCTCGAGCGTTTCAAACCGTTGGAAGTGTTTCTGCGCCATGGTAGAAACGCAAAAGCTGTACAAAACGCCAGGAGAGAGGATTGAAACATCCTGGCGTATAAAAGTTCTAGGCTGCCGTTGTCAATGCCGATGAAGGAAATACTTAAGATGTAGAAATCCCCAGCGAGAACCTGGAAGTCTGACGCAAGCAGCTGCGCCTTTCCGTAACAGGTCAAAAGAAGTCCCTTGGAAGTAAGATCCCCGCCATGTACACGCTGATGTTGAAGAACCGAGTTGCAAAGCGCGACAGCTTCCATCATGATTTGCAATAGTCGGATTCGAAGCCTCACAAACCGACGTTGAAACTCAAACTCTATAGACCTGTCCAGCTGAACTCCGGCTTCCAATGATTTTACCGATGATTTTAGCATCTGTAGAGATTGACAACCTGTTTCCACAAATGTCGTGTTTCCTGCGTCTCCTGGTGTTCTAGACCAGAGCTTTTCAGCGGAGCATAGCTGTAAAAGAGCCTTGAGCCAGAAATAGCACGCCTCGGACGTGACTACATCGCAGATAACTCGGTAAATGCCTTCGGCGATGTCCCACTGTCCAAAGATGCAGGCGGTCTTTGCAAGTTTATATGCAGGCCAAAACTTTGATGACTGCACCAATGCCTCGGCAGCTTTTTGCGCATACTCTGGAGTATCTAAACCTTCGAGCAAAGATACCTTGAAAACCGCTGGAAGTAGGCCCATGTAGACTTTCTCGTAAGCACCGGAAGAGCTCAGGAGCTGAGAAACCTGTGTGACCCGCTCGCAAATCGTGGTCATCTTCGAGTCGTTCAAATCCAGGTTTGTCGCACAGATAAGTAAGCAGCGACAAGTAGGCTCCAGTAGAGATATATTTGATGAATCGTCGGTCGCGTCACGCATGACAGTATCGCCGGAGACGTCGTTTTGTTCTTCGTCCTTCGTGATAGTGGACTGAAGCTTCTGAGCAAGAGATTCCACAAGAATATAGCAGGCTTTCGTAGAGTTTATGACCAGTCTCAGAGTCAAACGGTAGCAATGAACGGCAGCACCATCAGGAGACGTGATAAAACGATGGCAAAGTAGTGAAGATATCTTCTTCAAGAGTTCAGTAACCTCCGAGTCCGATGATTGTCTGGAGCGCTCAAGCTTGCAAACAAGCTCTACGAGCAGGCGGAGCGCTTGAAAACTGACAGACCACTCTCCGTCTTGAGAATTCACTTCCCCGAGAGAAATGAATTCGCTCAAACATTCTATAGGATAATTCGTTGCCACCTTGCACAAAAGAAAAATTCAATAACAGAAAGAGGCCGAGAGGCTGGTTACCTTTTGAAGAAGACGCAACGCTTGTAAGCGTATCACAGATGGCTTGTTCGTATCTTTGACCACTGTAAAGAGCGGCACAAGCTCCTGCTCCACAGATTCCAAGTAATATATCGATTGAGGTAATAACTTGGTCAGATAAACCAGCGAAAGCATCTGGACAGACGCTCCACGATCCGAATTGGCATACTCCAGTAGCAGACGAACGTGAGATGGAAGTAATAATTTCGCCTTCCCGGCGAGGTTGCTCAGAGCAGCTAGCGTCACCTTTGCAACCTCGTCGTTGGGATGCTTAAGCAGCATCTCTTCTCCAAACTAGCACACAAAAAAATTAGCAAATCCAAACCACAAGAAAAAACAGAACAAACAAACTCTTGCCTTGTGAACGTCAGCCGCCACTGCAGATGATATCCACATTTTGGACAAAACACGAATTGCCGCAAAGTCGAGGCTAGTTGATGTTTCCAATACCCTCTTCAGCTTTCTGGAGCACATAGCAGCAAAAGATGGCGAGTTCTCGGAGAAACACCCCGCGGCAAAGAATGCAGCCTCCACCTACAAATTAAAAAAACAAGTTTTTCACCAAGTTTTCACAGCAGTAGGATCAAATCAAACGTACTACCTCCTGCTCGTGAGTGGAGTCCATCGACAGTAGAACAAGCCGATGCAAGTCACTGCTATCACAGTCGAGCTGAGCCAAGCATCCAAGAGCCCGGATGGCGAGACACCGAGCTGTGAGATCGGTGCTCCTAGCAACGGCCTTCACCTTCTTCAACACCTCCACGTAGTCGGAGATCCTTTCACCGCTAAGCAAGGACTTACTCGACGTCCTGGCCTTCCTGTGGCCTCTGTACACATAGAGAAGTACCTTGAGAATGCACAGCCGGATGACATTGCTGCCATTCTTGAAAGAGTCCGCGAGCCGCGAGAAGATCGCGTTGGCGGACGCTAGGTCCTGGCCGGGATCCAGCCCAAAGTGATCGGCGGCGGCCTGGTTAGCCGGGGGCTCCAGGCTCCACTGCAGCAGCCGCGGGGCTAGATTCATGATCGCCTCGCATTGTCCACCTGAGAGAGAGATCGAAGGAGTCGAATGCTGCGCTAGGAAGAGAAAGAAATCGATCAGACCTGTTTTCAAGGATCGATAATCCATGTCGAGCTCCCGGTACCACGCCAGCGCCTTCATGGCGCCTATCTCCTTCATTGCTACAAAAAACCCTAAAACCTCGTTCTAGCGGCAAATGTAGGCAATGTAAGATCCCAATTTCATGGTTGAGGCCTTCGCTCAGCGCCTTCGAGCTTGCGTATCTCCCGACGAGGCCGAAATTCTCCACACCGAAGCGTCGGGGAGATTTAACTGCCAACAAGACGCTTACATCTCCAATCTTATCGTCCAAATGTATGGGCGATGCGGCAGCGTCGAGGCTGCTCGTCGCGTCTTCGATGCCATTCACGCACCCAATTCTTTCTCCTGGAATATCATGCTTTCGGCATATGCCACGAAAGGGCATTTGGACGAAGCAAGTGCTTTCTTCAATGCTATGCCAAGTAAAACAGTGATATCCTGGACGACTATAATGACAGCGTACAAGGACTATGGTCAAGTAGAAACAGTGAAAAAAATATTTGACGCTATGCCGTATAGAAACATAGTCTCCTGGACAACTATGATCGACGCATATAACGCAAAAGGGCATTTGTATAAAGCAAAATTTACCTTTGATTCAATGCCAGAGTGGGATGCCGTCACGTACAACTCGATTCTCGGATCGTTTCTTGAAAACGAAGATCTTCATGGCGCGAGAAAGATCTTCGATTTGATGCCAGAGCGAAACATAATCTCATGGACCGCTATCGTGATCGCAATTGCCCGGGCTGGGGATCTTGGCGAGGCCGTGACTTTGCTCCACCGGATGCCCGAATGGTCGCTGGTGGTGTGGAATGGCCTGCTTCACGCTTTTGCTACTACATCCAACGATGTTATCGGCGAGATCGTCGCCGCTAGGACGAACAATCTCGAGCTCGCGCAAGAACTCTTCGCTTCCATGCCCGAGAGAAACCTCGTCTCCATCAACACGATGCTAGCAGCGTACACTCTCAAGAATTCGATGAACAGGGCAGTCGATCTCTTCGAAAGGATGCGCGAGTGGGACATTGTGTCGTGGACGACGCTCCTGGTGGGATTCTCTCGAGCCGGGCGAGTGGAAGAGGCCGCCAAGGTCTTCTCCGCGATGCCGGAGCAAAACGTCGTCTCCTCCACGGGAATGCTGCAAGCCTACGCCCAAAATGGGCATCTGGAACAAGCAAAGCTCCTGTTTGATCGCATGCCGGAGAGGAATCCAGTCTCCTGGACGACGCTGCTCGTCGCATTCTCGCGATCCGGCTACCTGGGCGACGCCAAATCGCTGTTTGATTCCATGCCCAGCCACAGCCTCGTCTCCTGGAACGCGATGCTGGCGGCCTACACGCAAAACCTGCAATCCCACCGCGCGATGGCGCTCTTCCACGAGATGCCGGAGCGCAATGTCGATTCCTGGAACACCCTTCTCGCCTCGCTCACTCGCGACGTGGAATTGGCGATCCTGATCTTCGATCGAATGCCGCAGCGCGATCTGGGATCTTGGAACACTGTGATCGCGGCAGCTGCGCATTCCGGGCGCGGCAGGGAAGCGATCGAGCTCTTCCGGGAGATGCAATTGGCCGCCGGAATCCCAGACGAGGTTTCCATCTCGAGCGTCCTCACGGCGTGCACGCACCAAGGCCTGGTGGAGATCGCACGGCAGGTGGTCATTTCGTTCCAGAATGACTATGGGATCCAACCGCTGAGGGAGCACTACAGCGGCATGCTGGACATTCTGGGCCGATCTGGACACTTGGAATGCGCGGCCAATCTCGTCCGCACGATGCCATACACTCCGCGAATTCCAGATTATGGAGCACTGCTTGCCTCGTGTAAAACTCTCGAGAACGTAGAGTTTGGAGGAGAGATAGCACGAAAGCTTGTGGAGCTTAACAGAGATGATACTTCGTCCTATGTCTCGGTTGCCAATACTTACACTGGAAATCTCGGTCGACTGTAACATAGTTTGCTACCAATGCCGCGAGAGGATCCTACCACTAAAATCCAGAGACCTCGGAGATGGAAGCCAAGAGAAAAGGAAGTGGGGCTTGAAACTTTCCACTGTTTCAAGCTCTCAACGTCTGAAACTTCTCTTGACAATCGCGCCTTCCACTGGTTTAGAAAAATTAGTCATGCGTTCGTATTCCTGCCTCAGTTCCTCCAGCCTCTTCGAAACCTGTGATGCGAAGGCGTGTGAGAAGTTGAGAGCGATGCTGTTGTGAGTACCTTGATCGAGTAAGCCATCGGTAGCAGAAGATTGGGTTGGAGAACATCCTCCGGGAAATTTCTGAGAGCATGGACAAGCTTCTCGAAGGGAAGCTTGACCAGATCATCTTGACAGTATTTCAGAAGCGCTAGTCCTACTCGAAACACAATCTTCACTCCCTGCAACATAATAGCAGCCTCGCAACTCGTCAGAAGAAAAATAGATAAGCAAGAAAGAGATACAAACCTCGTACAGAAAAACGTCCCATATCCGAAGAGCTAGCGGGAACGGAAAGGAATAAGAAAACACAGTGATAAACCACTGGCTGGCGTACATGCTTGGGTTTATCATTTCCTCTTCGAAATGAGCACCAAGTTTCGGGATATACTCTCGGACAAGCCGTTCCAATTGAAACAGATACTGTTGCACCAAAGGCAAACCAGCCTACAGGTAAGCAGTTAGATCTCAGTAGAACGTCCAAAAAAACAATGAAACAAACCAAGTAAAGGCCTTCCATTGGCGCATGAACTGCGCCCTTCAACAGCGCCACAAGCAACCAAAACGCATCCTCCTCACACATGTACAAAAGCAGCAAGCCTGCCAAAAAGCCCATTCCCTGCGGTCATGGATGATCGAGGAGATTAACAACATTGTTTCCAAGCGTGAGAAAGTGTCGCTCTTACCTGGACATAGCCAACATCTCTGTCGTAAACGGAGTAAGCCTTCAAGACATTGTACAGCGAGCGCTGGCCAGGCCCGTGCCGCTGCTGGAAGAAAACATGCGACGGAAAAGTACGAGATATGTCGCGTATAATGTCCAGCTCCGAGGACGAAGTCTCGTACAGAACAAGTTGCTACGTAAAAAACGAATCCCCGTGAGTGGAAAAAAAAAAAGTAGTCGCAGTGCACCAGAAGAAAAGCTTAAACATCAAGCATGAAAGACAAGAACAGAACGAGGAACGAGGAATCTACTCAAGAAAAACGAAGAAAAAAAACGAAAGCATAGCTACCTCATAAACACCTTGGTTCATGAGCAGCAAGTCCCGGCTCCCGGAAATCAACTGCCAGACAAGTCCTCGCAACCGATCTGGTATACCTTTCCTGATGCGCCGCTTTACCACATTGGGCTTCCTTCTTACGTAGTGCCTCCAGTCGGCACCACCTGTGCCTATCATCTTTCTCCATTTTGTGAGCCTTCGATCCTCTCTACAAGGAAGAAACAAAGAAGAAAACGTGTAAGAACCAATCCATCAAGAACACGACAATGCCATCAAACAAACTCCAAACAGAGGCTCGCTACCTGTCGCGATCCGCTGCGCGCGCCGGGTTGGATCCATCGGCGGCGCTCTCCGACTTCAGGAAGCCGTATTTGTCCACGGGCGTCAAGGGAGGGATCGGCCCCGGCTCAAACTCTGGGCCGCGCGATCGCTTCTCTCCATCGCCATCGCCATTGCACGCCTTCATCGATTCCTCCCGAAATTCTCACCTCATTCCAGGCCTAGATCCCGAGGACGACGAGGAGGACGAAATCTCTGCAGCAGCTTACTCTCTAGCTGCAAGGAGAACAGTGCAGCAGCGCCAGATCCAGCGGAGATGATTCTCTCGGGAAGAACAGCGGGGCTCCAGTCCACGCGCCCTGCGCAAGCAGTGCGCTAGAATTAGGGCTTGGAGGGAGGGGGAAATCACGTTTTTGAGCGTGGCGCAACCGCGTCCGTCCATCTGCAGAATCTAACGGCCACCACTGTCCAGATAATAATTAAAATGCGGCGGCCACTACGTACGAAGCGGCACGTTAAGCTACTGATAATCCAACCACGGCTCATCCAATGCGTGTAAAAATATTACTTTGGTACTTAGCGAAGAATCTTAAAAACGTAGAGAAGGAAGGACAATAATTTAAAGCTTGGAGACGTGGTGAAATCGTCCTAACATGAAAGAAAGAAAAGAAAGAACTTTCCAAACAAAAACAAAGAGAGCTGAAGCAAGAGAGTGGGGAGAAAAAGGAGGTAAAAAAAAGAACGAGGCCGACGCGATCAAACTTGACTACTTAGCTAACATCATCTTGACGAACTCCTCGTAGTTGATCTGCCCGTCTCCGTCCACATCGGCCTCGCGGATCATTTCGTCCACCTCGTCGTCCGTGAGCTTCTCGCCCAGATTGGTCATTACATGGCGGAGCTCGGCGGCGGAGATGAATCCATTCTGGTCCTTGTCGAACACGCGGAACGCCTCCTTGAGCTCCTCCTCCGAGTCCGTGTCCTTCATCTTGCGCGCCATCAAGTTGAGGAACTCGGGGAAGTCGATGGTGCCGTTGCCGTCCGCGTCCACCTCGTTGATCATGTCCTGGAGCTCCGCCTCGGTCGGGTTTTGGCCCAGCGATCGCATCACCGTCCCCAGCTCCTTGGTAGTGATGCAGCCTACGAGAAGAAGAAAAAAATTTGAGTCATGCCCACAAGCTCGAATCGCCCAAATCCCACTCAAGAACACACCCATGTCAGCAATGCCATAGATCTGAGCCTCTAACCCTGGGATTCGGGGGCATCAAACCCTAAATCCCGGCTCCAATCCAGATGCGCGCAGCCCGGCACCGCGAATCGATCGATTCACGAGCCGGACATCACGGAATACCAATGCCAAAGAGAGATTCTCGCACGACAGTGAGGGATCAGCGCGCTTACCGTCTCCATCCTTGTCGAAGAGGCTAAACGCCTCCTTGAACTCGGCGATCTGATCTTCCGTGAGCTGATCGGCCATCTTCCTCGCGCGCTTCGATGGGCGCCTCCACAAAGATCCCTAATCGGTCGCGCCTAGGCTACTAGATCTCTACTCTCCACGCGTTGATGGCTTTGACATTAGTTTTACTTTATAGACTATGACATGGCGTCCCAAACTCACGGGAAATATGCCACCTCGGACTATACCCTAGTAAAGCCCTAGCAATGGCTGGAGAGGAGGATTTGGCGACGGCGGAAGCGGAGGGAGACGAGAACGAGCTCGAGGATGAGGAGGAGAAAGAGGTTTGTGAGGATCAATTCCATCCGGGCTCGCAAAGCCAGGCTATGGCTCCAGCGATTATCAGCATTCACCCCAATTCTCGCGCGGTTGTGGTCTCAGTGGGAGCTGGATTTCGAGTCTTCGATCTAGAGTAAGAATTCCGCTCTTGGCGCTTGCGAGGCTGAGTGATTTATTTCCAGGAGCAATGAAGCGGTGACTCCAGTTGATGATTCTTCCGGCCACCGCGCTGCAATTCGAGCTTCTGGATTTAGTCACGACGGTGCATTCTTCGCGTCCGCCGGGGACGACAAGCTCGTCAAGCTTTGGGATACATTCTCGTGGAAGTGCTCGAAAACCATGTAAGTTATCTTTCTTCTTCTTCTTCTTCTTCTTCTTCATGTTCGTTGAAGCGTCATCTTAAGCACTCTTACAGACCTGTGAACAAGAAAACCAGCGCTGTGGCTTTCAGTCGGGATGGCCAGTGGCTGTTGGTCGCGGACAAATTTGGAGTGGTTTATGTTATCCCAACTCTGGCGGACGACAAAAGTGACACAAACGAAGAACCAGCTCAACTTCTGGCGCACTGCTGCAGCATAATCACAAGCCTGGTCGGGTTTATTCGCTCTCCTTCTGACTCGCTTGCTGATCCTTGAATCGGGTGTCTGCAGGAGACGTCTCCCTGTGGCAAATTTGTTGTAACGGCAGATAGAGACTATAAAATTCGTGTCAGTAGGCTGTGCTCTCTTTGGTTTCTTCCCTGCTGACTCTTCCACACTTGCAGGTAAGTGTACTTCCAAAGAATCCTATGCTAGGAGCTTACGAAATCCAGAGCTTCTGTCTTGGTCACACAAGGTAACATCAACTATCAACGTCTGTCTTTGTGGACATGGGCTAAACTTGTTACAGTTTTGTATCTTGCCTTGCATTTGTGGGTGATGGATCGTCTGAAGCGTTATTAGTTTCCGGAGGAGGCGACTCTACGGTAAGTTTAAACATTCGATTTACAACCAAGTTTTTTGCATGTACTTTCCCAACACAGATTCGTCTATGGGATCATGTTTCGGGGTACCTGCTGGATACAGTTGATATTTCCAACCTCTTACAGGTCTTTTCTACTATTTTTTGCTATATATCTGCCTTCTCTCAAGTCCTTTAGTTGTGGGCAGACTGATAAAACCGATACATTTGTTGCTCCTGCCGTTGTCAACATGTCAGCCAGCGGATCTGTAGTAGCTTCTACAATTGAGAGGTGTCTGTTTCTGGTACCTGCGTCATGCATATACTGACTGACTGTTTTGCAAAGCATAGGCTTACAGGTGTGATCCTACTTCGTTGTGACTTCGGTATCAAAAAGCTTTTGTTTCTTCAGGTATGGTTTTTCTTTTCTTTTTTCCTTCTTTCTTGACTGTTTTTGTCTTGTTAGAAAATCTCTTGGCAAGAACCTATATGCCCGACCGATTTACAATTCGATAGAAAAGGAAGGCTGTGGCTCGTTGCTGGTGCAGCAGAGACAAGGGGAGTCGGTGATCGAGCACTGAAACCGGAACAGGTGACAGAATTGACATCACTCGCCCAAGCTTCCGCTGCTGCTGCGTTAACCCGCCTCCGAGTTATACAAAAATCTCCCGCCACGTCTTCGTACGAAGCACTGGACGATACCGAAGTTCCTGGCGGAGACCGTATGCTCAAGGCATTGCAAGGAAGTCCCTCCGACTCATCAGTCTCGGTGGCGGCAGCGGTGGCCGAGGCTGCACAAGCCGCCGAGCTCGCCATGAAGAACTTACTGTCCAAGAGGCAGTACACGGAAACTCACAGGGAGAAAAGAAAGCGGACTCGCAACGACAAAAAGGCGCGTGCGGCAACTTCTTCCTGACACGCAGGTATCAAGCTTTTGTTTGCATCCTTCCATCTTTTATTTTTTTGTCTCTGGTTCTTAAATCGTGTCCTTCAGACCTTGGAGCGACTTCTTCAAAACAGGCCTGATTTGTTTACGCACCTTTCCACCCCAAGCTTTGACCGGATTGCGAAACATTTGGGTGGCCGCATTAATTTGATGATTGCTAGCTTCGATCTCTCAAATGCTGGGAGTATTTTTGTCTCCATTGGTACATGCAATGTATCTATAGATCACTGGTGTTGGGGGCTTTTGGGGTTTTGTGTGATTAGAATGCACAAGGAGCAAAGCGGCTATTCCCCCTGTGATAGCCGAAAGTCCGTATGCCGCACGGACTACAAAGCTATTCTCGATTAGATCTAGCTCGAGAGATCTCTTGCGTCATCAGGAACATGACTCTGGTAGGTAAAAAACAGCCGTAAAAAACAGATCGAAAGACACAAGTTGTTCTCTAGTTTACAATCTCGTCCGTGTCTTTGACAAGCTGGGCGGTTCTCATTCTAAAACAATGGGTAAAGTCTTGCGTCACCTTGACAAATCATCAACAGCAAACAACATCGACAAATAGATATATTTTTCCTGTGTGGCATGTCTGTCAATTGCGCATCGGAGAATGGGATTTGATCGTAAGCATTGCAAGCAAGCGCAGAGCTGGATTCGGTTGTATTGTCAAATTCTTGCCAGTGGGATTTTGGAAAAATTTCCCATTCCCTCTTCTTGACCGTTGAGAGCGCGCAATTACAAAATTTAAAAAGGAACATACGTGGGATATTCCACGAGTGTCCGGCCGCCGTCCTTGTTCCGCGACGGCCTCTGTCCGTCCGTTAGGAATCGTCCGTCCGTCCGTACCGGCCGCATTCCAGATTCCTCGCAAAGGCGGCGAGGGCGGCTATGGAATGACGGTGGGCGAATCAAGAAAATGGTGCCACCACCACCACCCTAGCCCTAAAAAGATTGCTCCATTCTCTGCACGGATTTCCACATCAAATCTCCCCTTCCAAAGAGAGAATTCAACGATGAGATGAGACGACCCCCTGACTCCACATCCCTCCCACCCCGTCCGCCCGTCGGCGTCTACGTCCTTGCTTGCTCGCCCAATTCATTTCCCGCGCCTTTAATGGAGAGAATCTCAACAGCAGGAGACCTTTCTCCATCCATCATCCATCAGTGTTCTGGTTGTTGCTGCTTTCCTCGTATTAACCCCAATTCCCCCTATTAGCTTCTCACAAATTAGCTCCCTGGAAGATCGCGCCACCACACCAAGATCCTTGTTTACTTCATGCAGCCAGAAAATTTCCGGACGGTCAATGTTTTTTTGCGATTTCTTACGCCCTCCGTTTTAAACCGGCTCGAGGGCGTAAGAAATCGAAAACATGCAAAGCAGGGAGAGCGACGCAAGCGCACGCGCGCGTCACACACTTAGGGCTGACTAACTTTGCAAAATTTAGGGCTCGGGCGCGTGGGCGGACAAATCCTGTCATCCCCACTGACGTGGTTGCGTGACGGCAGCCACGACCACCTGACTCTGCTGCTGATTTGGCTTTTAGCCGGGGCCGTACCAACGCGGCCCAAATAAAAAATGAAAAAGAAATCAAAAGGGAAAAGCGAAAAGAAACACCAACGAATGTACGCTCCGGTTTGCTGATTTGCGATATCCAGAGCATATGGCAAGCATATAGTGATCGATTTTTTAAATCTTGGAAAAGGTGGGGATTTTACAATATCACAACCACACACACACACATGCAAAGGATCCGACATAGATACCAAACACACAGCGCGCCACGCAATCGCTAACGTAGGGGGCGTCCCACGTGGCAAATCCCCGCCAGTAGTCTATAGGCCGCTCGATCGCATTATGTATGGAAAAGGGCGGTGCCAGTGGCGGTGACGGCTCACACGTGGCAGCCGGAGACGCGCCGGCGGCGATGGTGCAAGCAAGGTTTAAGCCATAGGCTCATAGCACATGCATTTAACATATCTCGCACAGGTGCCATAGGGATTTGGGTTGGTACATACGACTGGCCTCGAAATACGTATCGAAAACGCAAACTCCCAAAGTTTTTATAATTCACACTCGAGCACAAAAAAATTGCCTCCATGATTGAGAAGATGATTAGCTTAAACCCTGGCGATTGAAGGGAGAAAATCTACCATGGGGGGGTGGTACGGCACGCCCGGACGTTACTAGACTATACGTAGGTACCTCATTCTATTCCGGACCCAAAAGGCTATGGTTTAACCGACGAGTTCTGGGGAGGGTCGCAAGTGATTAAAAACTACCAACCATGGAAATATGCATACATCATGGATGATGGTAGTGATCTTTGTAGGATGCATACATGACGTCAAAGCTTCGCGGGCAGCTGCAAAGCCAAAAAGGAAATGGCCACATGATGTCCATGAGACGTTGCTTGATGGCAACATTTCAATCCTCATTCTTGATATGGTAGTGGGGATGGATCATCAAGAGACAAGCGAAATTTTACTTTTGCCAGTGGGGGTTGGTAAAAAATAAGAATTTGCTTTGGCCTTACTTAACCAGCTGGCAAGGCAAAAGACCACTTGCCTTGCTTTGGTGTAACTTTGTATGTATATATACTGCGAGAGAGAGATGGAGACTGAAAATTTCAAAAGGGGGTCTAGCGGAAACTAGGTCACTGGTGATCCGCCATGGAACTTGACAATGTGCGGGTTTGGGAATGTCCCATTGCAATGAACTTAGTACATGAGAAAAGCACTAGATTTATGGGAACGATGATCAACAGTGGGGATTTCTTAACTTGCAAGCGCACGTGAGTAGGTTGAACAAAGTGGGAAACCTATGATTGCCCCCCTGGCCAGTACCATGGCCTTTGAAATTCCATGCCGCAAATGATGTGATTCAAGCTGATTTCGATCGGGAGTCGAGGAAAAGATAAAATGATTCCCCCAAGTCAAAATGCCAACCCTAAGAAGGTGGACTCATTGCGTATCTCGGGGGCAATCTATCAACTGTTTGCGTTGCTTTTGGTAGATCAATTCATTATTGCAAGTGTATGATATTCCTGTTGTAAAGGCGTGATTGCTCCCCCTCCATGTTAACGTATCAATGCCGATTAGGTCAAAAATAGCTTGCAACTGCGAGATTCTCATCCCTGGCTGTTTTCAATGTGATGTAAGCCTTTGAATTCATTGTTTCATATCAATGCAAGCTTTTCTTGGCTCTGCTTTTGCGCGAGAAAGTGGGGACCTTTCTCCACGCTGGCGGTATCGCTGACGTGCACAGTGAAAGCACTAGCCACGTCAGTGCTTGCGTGGCAGGAAGATAAAATCTTGGATGGATGGCGGAATGGCGGGATGGATGCATGCATGCGCGGCACTCTCTCTCTTCCGGTGTGAAACGAAAAGAAGGCGTTTAACTTGTTTTACCCCACCCAACCACCTGTATATAAAGCAATGCCGGGAGGGGTCACGGTAACAGTGGGTGGTAAAAACACATAGAGCGCTTTTGGTTTTTGGCTTTGTTTGTTGCTTGTGTTCTTCGGGATTTCTTCTGGTTTCGTCCGGGAGAGGAGAGGGATTTTGCTTCTTTCGGGGCTCTTGGGTGTTTCTCTCTCGCTCGGTTCGTGATCGCGATCGTGCATGCTGCTAGCTTCTCCGCCGCATTGCTCGCTCCACAGCTCTGCGCCTTCTTGATCCGCCTCCCATTCCCTCGCCTCTGGCGGAAAGATTGCCGCGGCATCTCTCTTTCTTCCGGTCCCAATTCCGCCCCGCGAATCTTTCTCCATCGGCAAAGCAGCAGTGTGATCGGTCGACCTTCGCCTCTCCCGTTTCTTGGTTTTCTTTGAAAGAAGAAAGAAGAAGCCACGAAGCGAGCTCTCTTTTTGCCTTTGGAGGAGGCGCGCGCTGTGCTGCTCTCTCTGTGCTGTGCTGTGGCCGTGCTGTGATCGATCGCGCGACGACATATCCAAGATTTCCTTGGCCAAGGCACATTTGTCGCTTGTGATAGCTCTTGTCACTCTCGCAGCTCTCGGCTGCCACTGTCTTGTTCCTGAATCGTCCTCGTCCCTCTCTCCGCAGAAGAATATAGAAGCTCTCTCGCACGCTTGCTCCAGTTCATCCGCCTCCTCCATCTTCGCGAACTGCGCTAGCTCTCCAGGCCTCCGCGCGGCATCTCTCCGAATTCTCGGGAGTGACAATGTACGACATCTCCAGCCACGCCTCGACGGCATTCCAGCTCATGGGATCCGGCGGCGGCGGCCACTGCCACGGCGCGCTGAGCGCCATGGAGAGGGTGGAGCGCATGGTGTCGGAGAACGCGGTGGTGATCTTCAGCATGAGCAGCTGCTGCATGTGTCACGTCGTCAAGAGCCTGCTGTGCAGCCTGGGCGTGAACCCCACCGTGTACGAGATGGACGAGGAGAGCGATGGCGGCGACATGGAGGAGGCCCTGGCCCGGATAATGGGCGACTCGCAGGTCGTGCCCACCGTCTTCATCGGCGGCAAGCTCATCGGGGGCCTTGATCAGGTGATGGCGGCGCACATCTCCGGCTCGCTCGTGCCTCAGCTCAAGGAGGCCGGGGCGCTCTGGTTATGAGCGAGATAGGAGCGAGAGGAGGATCATCCATCGGCGATCGATCATGGAGAGTCGGAAGTGGTTTCTAGTTTGCTCCAATCTTTCTAGTTTCCTTTACCTTCCTCTCTCTCTCTCTGTCTCTCTCTCTTTCGAGTCACGGATCTAGAGCGCCACGCAGCGAGAGAATTTAAGCATCGTAGCTTCTTTGTTTTGTTTCTAAATTCCCTAGAGGTTCTTTCAGTATAAGAAAAGTTGTCTCTTTTCCCTTCGTTCGTCTCGTCCACCATCTTTGGCCTTCGTTTCATCGTTTCTCTCTTTGTATCCCAATCAAAGACTTGTGGGTCTCGCCAGTCAGCTCCTGGACGCACAATCCAGCACGAAATGACAATTATCTCGACCGTTCCAGCTCTCCGCCCGAAAGTTCCGGAGGCAATGTCGAAGCTAGGAGGATCAAGAACAAGAATTGAAAAGATGCTGTTGCGTTGGTCGGACGGAAGGGCTGATGAGCTCAGTCCACAACTCGAGTGTCGTTTTTTCTTGTGTAAATGTTTCATCATCATCAACCAACATATCATCGCCATCATCATCCGAAGCCAAGGAAAAAAGAAAAAAACAAAAGAAGAAAAGGAGAAAAAATGCATGAGAAAAAAAGAAAAAACGAAATAGGCTAATGTTCTTTCAGATTCTCAGTCGCTGTGCTTCCAACTTGATTGTTGGAGTGTGGGGAGGGCGATTGACAAAACCTCCACTGGGCTTTTTTATATACTCAAGTTGTGTCGTCTCGTAGCGTTGTTGTTGATTGTCCCAGAGCTCCTGACGTCCTTGGAGGGCGAAAGAAAGAGAGAGAAATGGACGACGCACTCCAAATGTGTGTGTGTGTGTGTGTGTGTCTATGTGTGTAGTGGTGTCGTTTGCTCAATCACTCTTCGAAAGCGCTTGACACAGAAATGGAGAGTTGAATTGAACTTGCAGTCTTTGGTCTTTGACAAGGTAGAAGTGTAGAGTAGTATAGTAGTACCAAGCGCTAGTATTTAGTGGGGTGGTCCTAGGCCTCCAAGAAGTGCCATCCTTTCTGAAGTGAAGATATTACATAACAGAAAAATTTCTGCAAGTTGATGGTGTATATCTGCATCCAATACGGGAAATGAGAAAGATGAATGGGAAGAGGAGAGTGTATGGAGACATGTCTCTCTGTATATGTCTTCCGCGAGGAATCAAATCCATCCTTCAGAATGCCGGGTCGTCGTATTCGCTTTCAGGAGTGCGCTCAGCTCAGCAGCACCAGGAGCAGCAGCAGCAACAGCAGCGGCTCAGACAATTGAAAGCTCCATCGCGAGTAATTCGAGTGAGTGCGAAGGGCATTTTAAAAATCGCCCGAGACCATGGACCATTTGTTTTCAAAGAGAATAGAAAAGATGAGAGGAGTGAGCTCAAACAGAATGAATGAAAACGAAAGAGCGAATGATGGGTGATGAAATCGGTCAAAGCAGCATCAGCGGCAGCAGCAGCGGCAACAGCTGCAGCAGCGGCCAGGCAGCCAGATCTTTCTCTTGTTTAAAATGCAGCGGCACCTTTCTGAGATTATTCCAGTATTCATGATCAGGCATATGGCAGCATGTTCTCGGTCAGAGCCTTTCTTTGTTTTAAAAGCAAACAAAATTCTTATCACCTCACCTCTCCTTCGTCTCTCACCCTCAGCGTGTGTCAGTTGGGTCTCTGAAGCAGCCGGTTTGAGTCAGAGTCAGAGTGCTGCATTAGCAGCAGGAGCCCTAATACATGGATAGATATGGCTTCCGAGAGCTTGCTTTGTTTGCTGGCTTCCTTGTTCCATTTCCGTCCTTGTTTCCTGTCCTCTGCTTATTTGGGCTTCTCGAGGAAGAATGCTGGTTCCGGATGCTGAAATTCCCCTTGTTGCCCGCCGGATTCCGTGGTAGATTCTCTCTGGTTTTAGTAGTCTAGAAGGAGGGAGGAACCTGACTGACTGTAAAAGCCTGCTCTTCCGAATCTGACTTCCAACAGGGGGAAAAAGCAAGAGTTGAGTTGAGGGATCTCTTCCAAGTACTGTACAGTCGTGCGCGTACACTGTCGTTGAGCAGCTAGAGGTAACACAGTTCGGACGAAAGCTTTGCTTTTGCTTGAAAGACAAAACTTGGTTGTTGCTTTCAAGCCTTTGGGATTTTGGGTTGGGGAAAATCTGCAGGAGCATGCTCTTGAGGATGTGGATGTATGAGCCGGCGAGTTGAGTTCATCCTTTTCGTGATACACACAGACGTATCGGTGTACGTTGCTGGTTTGTGCTGCACCTCTGCAGCTGAGCAAGGCACGGGTATTGAGTCAAGTGCTAAAGGAAAGGCGACTTGCTTAAAGCTCAAACAATTTCCAGGAGGGTATGAAAAAAGATGTGCACTATGAATTCCTATAGTTTACAAAATTATTACAAAGGGTGCCACCAACCAAGCCATTTTGCTAAACATGTATTGATTTTTAGATAAAACTTTCCAAGTCTAACTTTTTTTAGAGGCATAACGGAACAAGGCCAATAAAATTCTTTTCACTAGAAGTTCTCTAGAATATGATGTTTGTGCTACTTATTTCATTTCGGAGGATATTTTACAGTAGTAATTGCTATGTCACATAACACGATAGTAGCTATTAAAGAAATAACATAATCTACATCCAAAAATAAATTCATTATTACAAAGTGATGGAAGCGAATAAAATAAATACATATTAAATTCATGCAACATACCTTAAATAAATTGTTATGTGTTGCATGTAGCAGTGTTATTTTTACTTATTAATCAAATTGATCAAATATAGTTTATAATTATAAGCATATTCTAATTTATAAATACAACATTAAGCGTATTGCATAAGATGATAGAATAAAAAAGAATATACTAGAAAGGGTTTAAGAAAGTTTATAAATTATAAATATGTTTATAAATTAAAAATACAAGATTAATTTAAAAGAATAACAACTGTTAGATGGTAAAATATTATAGAATATCCAAGCATATTCTAGGTATAGTCAGTATATTCAGTAGGTATATTCAGGCTTAAGCAAACCAAAAATTGCAATTTCTCAACAGAAAAAGGGGTTTATAACTTTACACTTATTAAATAGTATAGGAAACTTGAAGATCATTATTTTGGGTGATGTATTATTTTATATTCACAAAATATTTAAATTAAATAAAACTTCATGATATGTCTATAATTTTAATTTTAAAGTAGTGAAATAATTTTAATAGAAATAAATAAAAATCCTTTTTGGTTTGCTTAAGAAAACCTAGGATGGTAGTGCATATACCTAGAATATATTGGGATATTCTAGGATATTCTACCATCTAACAGTTGAGATTCATCTTGCATTTATAAGCATGTTTATAATTTATAAATTTTCCCTATTAACAGTTTCTAGTATATTCTTTTTTATTCTACCATATAATGGTTGATATGCAATAAGATTAAACTTGTGTTTATAAAATATAAATATACTTATAATTATAAACTTCCATTTGATTAATTGGATTTTTAAATAAGAGTAACATGACTATTAAGCAAACCAAACATTGCTGCATGCAATGTGCAATAAATTATTTAACACATTTAAAATTGTATTCAAATTTTCTAAGCACTAGTAATATCAAATGTTTAATATAAATTTGAATTCTTTAAAAAGAACATCATGATATGATATGCCAAACCAAGTGATCTGGATTTAAATCAATCTAATGGCTACTAGAATCTCACTACACTAATAATACTATATAGAATTGTATCTGTACATATTTAGTATTTTTAAATAAATAAATAAATAAAAGTGAATTATTATATAAATAAAATTTGAGATTAGTGTATAGTTTTAAAAGCTATTCATTAAAAATCTTATACTTTATATACATTATCTAATTCTTAATTTTCAACACTTATAAATAAAACTTTTGAGACATAAACTAGGTAACACACCACTTTCGTATTCTATGCACTTATATTGGTGGAGGTGAAAAATAACTTTAATTATCCTTGAAGAGTGCTTGGATTTATGATTTTGGTTTAAATCTAACTTTTTACATAACTTCTCCTCCTTTGACTGTAGAGCATTATTACTTAATGTTATTTGGCTGCAACTGAATAATTAAACTTAATTGATAGTAGCATTTATGGCATATTGTACAATTTCTACTTTTATTACCAATCCTCATATCCAATTGGAGTTTTTCTATAAGAATACTAGGGATGATATGTATTATTAGTTTAATCACTTTACAGTAATTGTCATTTATCATTCTTGGGATGATGCCCTACATTTGTGAGAGTTTCACATGTGCCTCCAAAGGATGGCATTATGGTGGTACAATAGTTTGCTTGTGCAAATTAGATTTAGCTTTCTCATAAATATTTTGAAGCTTATATTTCAACATATTAACAATTGTGATGATGCCTTTCAGTAATTGTATCATCTTTAAGAGCTATATAAGTTAGTACTTTCGAAACCTCTTGTGAAGTCAAATATATTAGAGTGAATCACGTTAGGAATATTGCCACTAACATTTTATCAAGATCTTATGGGACTTGTGCATACACTTGCTCTTACCATCTTTAATAATGCTTTTCAATTGATACAATATTATGAGATATTATTTGTTCCACTTGTTGTTGCATAGGTCTTGTTCTAATGGAGGTGGATGCTACTGTTGCCCATGTTCAAGAGCAAGAACAAGGATGTGATTATAGTTGTGATGTTAGCTGTTGGGTATGTGATAAGGTTGGCCACACATATCAATGTTGTTAATGTTTTCCAGATTGGTGTTTTCCATTTTTTAAATGGAGGTCTTTGCATCATTAATGTTCTATTGATGTTGCTGCAATGGAAAGTCTTGACATAAAAGTTCTTTCGGGAAATGAAGAATCATATGAACAAGAGGTTTTTCATATTTATCCTCTAAAACACCATAGAGTTTACGTTTTAACATGCTTAAAATTGGGGAAGAGCATATAAGGGGTATGTAAGCCACAAATTTTTCCCTTCCTTGGTTTTTGCTAAGTTCCCTCGCCAAAGTTTTCACATATTGTACCAACTCTTACTTGGTCTTACTTGATTTCAGCTACTCACTGCATAAGCAACAGAGCATTAGCCATGCTCATTCAACCACCTAAGGCCCCTCGACCCCAATCTCAACCTCAAGTTAGTTTAGAAGCACCACTAAAGAGTTCTTTCAAGATTGGTTCCTAGATTCCTAGACCTCACTATCCCTACTATATTTTT